CCGTACTATTTATATTGTGTGCATGCATATTCTGCTTCGTATTTAGTGATATATTTACTTAATATCTGTAATAATTTTTATATATTAGGCATACAACTTTGCTTTCGCCGTTTTTACAGGTATAAATTTATACCTGTAAAAACGATGGGAGCAAAGTTGTACACCTAATAGTTACATTTAAAGTAAAAGTGTAAATCGTAAACTAATGCGAACTCTTGAGAATACATTTGCTCAAAAGAATTCGCCTTTCTCTTTTCTTAGTAAGATATCCTGTAAAAACGAGTCATAATATTACAGTAATACTTGATAAACTTTTAGTTTAAAGTGTAAAGAATAAACTAAGCACTATTTTACTGTTCGAACTAAGATACTTATATAGATTATACATATGTATAGTTTCGAAGAAAAGGTACGCATTTTTGGGCGGTCTTACCCTATGATGTATTCATCATACCATGGATTTTTAATACAAGTGATATATATCGGAATACACTAACGATTGTAATATAGTAACAACAAAATGTATAATAAAGTCAAATATTTCTTTTAATACATTTAACATTTATTATTTTATTCTGAAAAAATCATTTTTTAGTTATCATACTTGTTCACTTATGAAATACGAATATTCTGAAAATCTATTAATTTTTTTTAGATATTTTAATTGATATCTTTCTTCTAGGCCGATCGTACATAAAAAGTGCTTTTAAAATGTAATTATTTAGCTTCTCGAACGACATAAATTCTTAGTAAACTTAAGAATATAAGGATATAGAAACGGCATCAGGAGACGCAGTAGTAGTGTCTCCGGCCTTGTTCAAAAATCTACTATAATCAATTTAGATTTGCATAAAGATCATAATATTTATTTGTTCTAAAACAATTTTTATTTGTATTGCCGAAATATAACACTGTAACAGTAATGATAACGTTATAGAGTGATTCAAATAGGAGCGGGAATTGTCCACTTTAAGAGGACCAATTAAGGGGAGGCACCTGTCTCATTTTGACCCCTCGAAATTCTAATGACTGAAGGTGCTCGTATTTTTATTCTTCGTCGATTTTGAGGTCAAAAACATACCAGATTGTTATAAAAAAAAAATTCGAATTTTTCACTGAAAAAAGAATTTTATTTTTTCAATCGTAAAAGATATTGTCAAATGCATACGAGAGATTATTCGAAATGTTGAGAAGATCATATAAAAAAATTACCATGAGAAAATATTGAGAATTGTAAGAGAAGATAGATTTTTAAGATTGAACTTAAGGAATTTCAATCTACTGAAGTCACAAATTAATTGAAAAACATTATTTTTTTGGCTTAGAAATATATTTTTTCAGTACCCAAGAACACGTATGACAATTCTGAAGGACATTCTTTGGCAATTTTATGTCCTGCAGCATAAACATTTAGGTTCGTAGGGTGGTTGAATTTTTTTTCTATCTCAATCGGAGAGCATTTTCTTGTATCGAAAATCATATTCGAAAGAACGTTTTCAGAATTCTTCAGCATTCGTTCTATCATGATTCTTTTTTACAATCTTCAGTATATCCAATTTTTTTAAATGTTAATATATTTAAATACATATAACATAAAAAAAATTAATGTATATAAAATATCCGTAAAATCACGTAACATTTAACTCAAAATATCATAATCAAATTGAGGAGTTTATAATTACATGGAATGGTATTAAAATGTATATTTTATATATGTGAAGTGATTAAGCTTAATACAGAATCTTATTATCTACTTTAAAAATTAATATTTAAATATACATTTAATGCATTATACATATTCTGTGTAAAAAAACACTATTGTTTGTAAGACAATTAAGTGTATATCTTTATAAAATATATTAATAAAGATATATATATATTATAAATATAAAATTTTTATAAACATATGTACAAACATATTTTTCGCATTTTACGCAAAAGATAAAGTATCTCGATGAAAAAGAAATTTTCAAAGTAGATTGATGAAAAATCAAAACTTAATATATAAAAATGATAACAATTAACAAAATTTTTTGTGAGATGTAAGATTATTAACAAAAAAGGATTTTAAAGTAAATTTTCTTTAAAATGATTTTATTTTAATTGGTGTAATAATTTTGGAATAATATCTACTTTTTCATCTAAAAACTCATTTTTACGAAATATTTTTTAAGAAAAAAAAGTTTTGTTACAATTGTGCTCAATTTGCATAAATTAAAAAAAAATTTTTTCTAAATTTTTTTAACTTTTTGCGAGATGATTAAATCACGAGCATTCTTGAATTTATGATAAATATTGTAAATATTGTAAATATTGTAAATATTTTTATATAAATGTATTTTATATTATTATATATTATTAAAATGATAAATTATATTCACATACATCCTCAAAGATAATATGCAAGATTATTGAAGTATATGTAGTAATATTCGTATCAACAGCATGCTCTAATTTAAAATATATTTGTTAAACTTATTTAACTAATAAAATTCTCGACAATAATCATTTACAAGCAAATAGATTGAAAAATAGCCAATCGTATAAAAGCTATTCCATTATTCAAAGAAATAGTTATGATTGACCAATTTCATAACATTGGTGTTGTAAACGAATCCGATAAATATTTTCCCTATATAGGAGGCTAATGAGAGTGCCACGTTGCTGTTGGTACGTCAAACAATTTCCTTGGATATATTAAATCCTTTATTCAAAATCACATATAGTACGTTTCGACTCTTTTTTGAGTCATCTTCAGCTACATAATAACACCCAAATTGGATAACCGAATAAGTCACATCGAATTGGTAGATTTGATGTTCTTAATCTCAAACGATATCCAACCAGGAAAATACAAAACTTAAAATTAAAATATCATGGATTGTCATCATCTTACGCTGTTACAACAAAATTTTTTTCGTCAAAAACTAAACAATTTGTCCGAGTGCACAATAAAATATTACATGTCGTCATTATGCTGTAAAATCTAGAATCAGTCTAGATTTTACAGCATAATGACGACATGTAATATTTTATTGTGCACTCGGACAAATTGTTTAGTTTTTGACGAAAAAAATTTTGTTGTAACAGCGTAAGATGATGACAATCCATGATATTTTAATTTTAAGTTTTGTATTTTCCTGGTTGGATATCGTTTGAGATTAAGAACATCAAATCTACCAATTCGATGTGACTTATTCGGTTATCCAATTTGGGTGTTATTATGTAGCTGAAGATGACTCAAAAAAGAGTCGAAACGTACTATATGTGATTTTGAATAAAGGATTTAATACATCCAAGGAAATTGTTTGACGTACCAACAGCAACGTGGCACTCTCATTAGCCTCCTATATAGGGAAAATATTTATCGGATTCGTTTGGAATTTGGGAGTCAAGAAGAAGATATTGATTTTTTGGATTGGTGTTGTAATTTCGACGTAAATCAAATCATATAAATGCAGTAAACGACTTTCTATTACTCTTACATTTACACTAACTTCGATGATAACAAATAATTACACAATTTATTTAAATTCAAAAACTTTCCGAGATAGCACACAGAATTCACAAAATAGTTTTTACTCTGTTTTAGAGCAAATATAATTAATCAAATCTCTAGCAACATGCAGAATTAACTATGCTTCAAAATGCAAGTATATTTAAAAGATTCTTATATTTTACTTCAATGTGTTGCTTTACACATGAACCAAATGTGTTATTCAGATTATATGTCTTATTTAGTTACAACTTTGTTCTACATTTTGACTGTCTTTTGAAAAGTTTCAATAAAAAATTACACATATTTTTTCCAATCAAGCTTTAAAAATTTAAAAAAATTATTTTAATCATTTTTTGTTTGCTGTTAACAAAGGTTACATCAAACACAATATTATGGAGAGTTCATTTAGAGTGTTTCAGTAGTCTAACTGGCTAGGACACTTGCATGTAAAGCGAACAATCCGGGTTTGACTCCCGACCGAGGTAATATTTTTCACAATAAGAATGATTACTTTCAGACTTTAATGTCGTTAAAGATCGATATAAGATACCAAAGAGTACCAAATAATTATTAAATTGTTAATCAATTTAATTCATGATAGTACTGCGGTAATTTATTAGAATTGCGTTTCAAGACCGACAATTGTTCGCCGAGCAGTTTAGAAAAGATTACAAATATCACTATATCAATTTACGCAAAATTATATATAAGCAACTGAGATCCAGCTAGACTGTTATAGACTTCGATTAGTTATGTACATTAATTTCCACGAAATTTTTCCCATAGTCGGTTAATGATATCATCATTCGAGGTTGCACAAGATCGAGAACGCATATATTGTTTAATCACGCATCAAAATATGTCGATACAACGAATTTTTTCATTCGCAACACAATTTCGCAAGCAACTATGTATGCGCAAACAATGCAGAGCGAGAGTGAATACGAAATTAAAAATATTTGTAATTATATTCACTAAAAAATATTTATTCAAATCGAATAAAAAGTATATTATTAGTTTTTTGATCAATATCAAAAAAAGTGTGTATATGTGTGAAATATTCATATATCCATTCTTCTTGTTGAATTTCAAAGATTCTTTTAACTCAAGTGTAATTTTCTTTAGATCAGCTCACGAATACAAAATAATACATGCATAAAAATTTACGCAATTTATATGAAATATAAAAGTATACATTAATTTGCAGAAAATTTTGTCGATCAATGATTATTAATGTATATCAATGATGTACATTAATTTGCAGAAAATTAGTCGATCAATGATATCATGACTCGAGGTTGCATGAGACCGAGAACGCCATATATTGTTTTCACGCATCAAAATTTGCTGATGCATCGAATCGCTCGTAACACAATTTCGCAAGCAACGCGAGTGGTTTCGTCGTCAACTCCAATTTCGCGACTAATCGCGGATTCCTTTAAAAAAAACAGGCGCGCTAGTCCTGTTTCATCAGTTCGATTTTGACTTTGATCTACGAACAATGTATCTGAAGAGTTGCTGCGCGTTATTCCTGCTGGCGCTCGTCGCCTGTCAGGCTGCACCTTCATCTCAGGCAATTGAGAAATCAATTAACGAGGCAGAAACGATGCTCACTAAGAGCAACATAGAACTAGAGGGTACTGGTGCGGAAAAAGATAGGGCGAAGAAATCGGCAACGACCTTCTGCGTAGAAGTTCGCTCGGGAAAGACAGAAAAGGTGCCATGCAAGGAGATAAGGCAACAAGAGACATCCAAACCAGTAGTTATAGTGCAACCTATATCGATACCAGCACCAGCACCAGTACCAGTACCAGCACCAGCACCTACAATTATCGAGTGTCCTAAACAGCCGATTGTGATCCAGCAACAGCAACCACCGCGACCGGTCCCTCATCTCATACCACCACCTGTTCCAATAAAATCACCGCCAACTCCAATTTCCGTACCTTGTGACAAACCAATTGTACAGCCGACACAGCCACAAATTCACACAATCCACTCATGTGTCATTCCGACACAACAACCATCTCATAAACCACAGGATCCACAGGTAAAAAAAATTGTCAATTTGATAAATTGTAAAAATTGAAAATGCTCGTCATGTATCTTCAATTTTAACATTCAAATTTAATTAGTTAAATTTAAAACCTATTTAGTGATTAATATAATTAATTTTACTACTTATTTATTAATTAATCTAATCAATTTTCCAATTGAATTAAATTGACTATAATATTATGCCATTAAAATATATTAAGGCTCCTGAATACCAGCGACGGCCATGTTGGAATTGTGACGTCATAGGCGAGAAAAACACATTAATTTTTCTTGCGTCCCATTTTTTAATAAAGACAATTTGGATAAATTTAAAAGGCGAGATCGCTCAAAAACACTTGTGAAAATTGGCGGAAACTGTCCTTTCCTCCTCTGATAGTCAGTAAATGGTCGTAAAAGGCACGTAAAGTGAGCCTATACTCGGGCAGAATCACACATTTTGACAGCTGATGAAACGAGTGAAATATACGCTTTTACGTATAAAATTTCACGATAACTGCAGTTTCCGCCAATTTTTAGGACTTTCACGAGTACGAGGGAAGTCACATTTTCACAAATAAGCAAATATTGACAAAATGGCACGCAAGAAAAAATTTGTCGTCAAAACATCACTTTTTCACGCCTATTAGTTCAGACTTTTACCATGGCGAGGCGCTATATACACACACAAGCATGAACCCATGTCTGTGCGCTCCCCTTCTACCCGAAAATGAGCACACGGACATGAGCTTGCAATTGTGTGTATAACCAGTAGCGTACTACCAGTTTTGCTAGCCACCGACTGATTCGGTGTCGCTACCCATCAACACGGAGTTCTTGGCTGAGTATTCAGGAGCCTTAAAAAGAAAAGAAACAAAAATTAAAATATTATATTATTTCTCTATTACAATTCAATAATTGCCACTTTTGCAGCAATCGATTGTTCAGGTACCCACAGTCTGCAAAAAATGCAATAAACCAATACCTAAGTTTCCACCAGGTGATGCCTTCGCTTATCCTACCGATGTAAGTAGGAAACATTATTATCACACAAGTTCTAAAATTACTTTTTTTTTTAGTTTCTGTTAAAGCTATAAATTGAGCTTACCGCAGTTCTTGTACTTTTGGTTTTCTGAATCTGTAATTGTTTTTCAATAGATGCATCATGTTCTAAATACATAAAACCCGACATTTTGTAACTCGTTATAATAGTAACGACATTATCGTTCATCATCTGTGCGACGACAATGTAACGATATCATTATTGTTATAACGAGTTACAGAATACAAGCCAAAGTATTTCCATACTAAATAAAATATTATTTTATTTCTTGCTGATTTAGATCTTTTCGCCATTTGAACAAAGAACTGATTGTGAGGTAGGTCCATACGAGTGCAACTGCCGACCAGAGAACCGCATTGTTGAGATAACACCCTATAAAATCAAGGATTCTCGCATGGTAAATCCTGATGGCGCAACTTTTGGTTCCCCAGATACCGTACCTTTTAACTCTATACCCCATAGATCCTCGATGATCTCTACGGAATACGATCCTAGTATTTCTAACATCATGTTGGATCAATCCATGTTCCTTGATTCAAAAGGAGTTAGAAAGGCGGTAAGTACCAACTAGAGCTGACTTAAGTAGTACTTATCATACGATTCCACATTAATTTCGAAATAATACGAACGATATCTCAATACTGCGATATTCTTGAAATGCAATAAAAAAAATGCGACATTAAAAGATTCCCATATGTGTGCGTGCAATTCCACTGCTTTTTAAAAAAATTTCTTTGAATGAAACTTTTTGTAAAGATTTTTAAAAAAAAGTTCGACAGAGAGTTTGTATAAGAAGAGCTACATAATATTTAATTTCACGCGCAGGTTTAATCCTTTATTTCCTCGAAGACTTCGTTCAAAAAGGAATTGGACCAACCATATCTTTATAAAAAAATTAAATATTTAAAATATTTAAAACTTTGTATAGAACACATGTGCCTTCAATGGAAACATTCTCATGTATTATTTGTTCACAAAATAAAAAAAAACAATTATTCATAAAAATCTTTTCAATATTGTTCTCCTTTCAATCCTCTGATTAACATCCAATTTTATAGTAACCGATATACAGAATAACATTTTTCTAAAACAAAGCGCTGCAAATTGGAATCTTTTGATGCGTACGAGCAGAAATATTAGCCGTGCAAGCAATTACTGAAAATTACAAATAGAAGATTATCGTAAATGTATAGCAAATTCGTGTAGGAAGAGATCAGTATCAATTGCACATATATTTAAGTTAGAAATGATACTTAAAAAAGTGTATGTCCGGATGATCCTTAAAACAATGAATTCTAAAAAGAATATAAATGCAAAATACATTACCTGTAATTTTTACAAATAATAAATATTGAATTATTTTTACAGGAGGAAAGGACGCATCATAAACAAAAACATTATCTCCCTGTAAACTTTAACGTACAATTCCCTATTGCATATGGAACCGGCAATACTCCTTATCAACCTCAGTATTATCCTTCATACCCTTCGTATCCTAGTCCAAATTCTTACATCTACCCAAGTTCTTATGGAAGCTATGAAACCTATGGAACTTCTTATCCAATAAACTACGACTCTTTAGCTTCATCAAATAATGTACCAGCAGTGACTGTAAATGCAGGAGGACCATTTTATAATCGCGAATCTCAACACTCTGACTCATCGTCTCGATCGAATAACGAAGCGCAACCAAGAGCGTTTTCGACTGATATTCAATCAAACCACGAGCAGAAAGAAATTACACAGACCAACAAGGAAAGCGTCATCAAGGAAGCAATTCCTGAACCCAACGTAATTACAATGAAGTAAAAAGAGAAAAACAGAACAAGTCGAATTTTTAATGTCATAAATATATCTAAATAATATGTAATTAATTTAGTATTATGGTCAATTTGGAGTGCATTCCGTTCTGCGGTTATAGAGCTCGTAAGCATTATTTGTCCTTGTTTATTTTTTTTTATAAATAACAAGCATACAGAGTGCGAATATAAAAATTGAATGTACCCTTTATCTCAAAATTACTTTTATTATTTATTGAATGTAATGTTGTTAAAATATTGCTTTTAATTATCTCTAATTATTTTCTAATTTTTCTACAATTTTTTAATTTTTTTATATATTAAATACATTGTTAGTTTAAACAAATATATTTTCTCTGTCAAAATAAAGTATTTTTAAAATCACAAATTTTACGCACCGTTTTAATTGATATTTTCCCAGACAAATTCACGTTGTTATTTTACAGAATTTATTCTGTAAAATATATAAAAAATGGTATACAATATAATATAGTTGAATTCAATATATTATTTATAAAAACAATCGGTCGCGTTTAGCAGGATATTTTTCTTTAATTATATTATTTTTAAAACCGCAATTGAAAGTTTTTTTCACGGGATTATACTTTTAGATCTAGAGAGAAATAGTCTTGTTCCAGAAAGACAACTGTAAATTAGCAATTGTAAAATAATATATTTTGTTGAATGCGACCAATTTTATAAATCTATACATCATAATTTTGTCTTTTTTTTAATATCCTAATTTATTGCCTAATTTATTATCATCCTAATTTATTAAGATTTGTATACAGAAACTGAATAATTATATATAATATAAAGACAAATATAATTAAATACATAAATACTAATATTCTTATTTATTGAATGTAATTATTATATTAATTATTGAATTGAAATTAACATATTGAATTTTATTTTATTGACATCATTATTGAAACTCTTGAAACTTATGAATGACATTATTCATTATTTCTTCTAAATTTGTTCCCAATTGCTGAAAACACCATTTGCTTGTTGCTGGACATATTAACACTATAGCGATGACACATATTGTTACAGGAGCAAGCAATATCCAAATTAACTGTAAAAAATTAGTTGTAATTAGTTATAAATGTCAGTCAAAAAAATGTTAGATACATGCTTGAAATATCCAAGACATAAGAAGCCATCCTATCAACATTGTAGTAGCCGTGGTTAAATAGGGAATATATTCCGGACAAAAAATGTCCCGCAAGAAAGAAATTTTACTGCTCAAATCAGTCAATATAGCCTCCAACTGTAAAATGTTTAGTGACATAATTAAAGTATATGTAGCTGAAAATATTGAAAGACTTACATTCATTTCGTCTTCAATAAATTTCTGTAAAAATAAAATGACTTTAATTTAATTTAAATAAAAAATTGTTATATAATATATACAAAATTTGACATATTGTTATAAAATAATCTTTACAGAATATGCGACTTATGCAATAAATTTTGTCATCTAATAAAATTTCAACTAATTGCACTAATGAAGCGATAAACTGACTACTTCACCATGTTTACCTATATTTATTTATATAGTGTGTTTATTAAAATAGATAGGTATGATTTTCAATAATATGCAGTTTCGAATATCATGCAATCAAGGACAAACATAGCCAATTTCTAACGCCAATTTCTAACATCATTAAATGCAAGTCGTGCGAAAGAATGAACGATGACATTGCTTAGGTAAGGAGTTTATATACGTATCGCAATGTTACTCGATTTGTCTGTGACATAAATTTTACGATGGTTTTTGTTGATAATGTACTGGTTACAATTCATTTTTCAGCATGTGTCATATTTTCTACAGTTATACTTATATATAATTTTGTAGGTTCGGACATCGTCTGGGTTCGGATGCTATCCGAAAACTAGAAGATATTTACGCTTGTTCCATATCTCGAATGTACATACATCGAAATCATCGCTCGAGATCGAACTTGACTAATAATATGAAACCTATAAATTAAATTTTGTTAAATAACAGAGAGCAATTTTATATCTTAATCAGAATTTTTTAGAAAAAGTCTCGTACTTTTGCAATATTTTTAAAATTTAATTTTAAACTTAAATGTTAAATTTATTTAATTTTTATTGTATATAATATTTATTGCTGTTAAACTTATTTACAATTATTTGAAAAATATGATTATTTATATTTGGATCTTAAATTCTTTAATCATTCCAAAATTTGTTGACACAACACACACATATTTGTTACAATTCAACATTAATCACAGAATTTACTATTAAGCGTTAATGCGATAGTGGCACATAAAACATATTATATTACGCTCAAGAAAGTTGTTCAAAAGTTACTTGCTATTTCCTTGCAAACTCCCATGTAGCAAGAAATTGGATTTAACGAAAGAAAGGCTAATCCCGTTGAGATTCATTAAACCGATGTTTCACTACGAAACTTGCGTCATTAGTAACTCGCAAAAGAATGGAAACAGACTTATACATTCATAGTTGCCAAATCAGCCAAACTGTAACCAATGTCGCAATATTCGTAGACCAAAATGTCAGATTGTCCAGCCACAGAATTGCTAAATTTCTTCCTTCTTAGACAAATGAAAGAAAAGTTTTTGCAACTTGTAAAGAGAATAGTTTTTGTAAGTTTATGGATTCTATCAAAAGATCTCATATTCTATATTACTTGCTTTTTAGTATGTATGCAACGTTCTATACCTAATATTGTATAAAAATGTCTCTTATATCATTTTATGTATTTTGTAAGAATGTTATTTGAAAATATTTCACATTTTGTGTGCAAGTACTACATATATATAGAAAAAGCTTCGTTATAATTCAAACTTTCTTTTCTCTTGACATAAAAAAGTTATTAGTAGTAATTTTAATAATTTAGAACATTAATTTAAAGTTAAACTTAATATACCTCCCCGGTCAAGAACAAATTTGAGCTATACTAGTTGTTACACTAAGACAAAAATGCTGTTGATTTAATTAAAATCTATATCGCGGGCTGTCACTAACATAAGTAATTAATTCATGTATATTTTTATTGATACAAAGGTTTTGATTATTGTTTTAATAATTCAATATTAATTGTAATAGAAAGATAGTAATTACCATTTGCTATTTAGTTTGGTTTCTCTGGACATTTGGTTTCTTTAGGGTTATAATTTTCAACACAAATATTGCATCTGAAATCAGCTCAGTCTTTAATTTCCGCATACCTCTCAATTTGAAAAGCAATTTAGCGAGGATTCAACAAAATCAAAAATCACGAGTTACACCGCTACGCCGCGCCGTAAATATACTGACTTACGCCGTTCGTAACATCGACTTCTATTGCTCTACTCTATCGATGCCTCCATAAATTCTTTATTTTTCGGAACTTAACGTGAGCACTATATTTCCTGTAAACATAAATCGCGAAGGTTTGTAAGTTATACTTTGGCTATGATATGCGAGGTTAAGCTCTCGTAAAACAAGAAGATTCAGATAAAAATATCAATTTCAGTTAATACAAAAAGATACAAGAAACTAATATATAGTTAATTTTTAAATATTTGCGAATTGTTGCACTTTTGTGCGATAGTACTATAAAGCAAAATTCTCACCCTACTGTAAATTCATACAACATAATTCAACGCGTAATAGTACCGTTGTGTTACAATGGAGAAACTTACAATGTCCAAACTTCAGAAATACAACTGTACTGTGCAGAAACAAGCAACTAATTAGAATCGCTAATTTCAACATTAATAATGATAATGTGACCAAGTAATCGAAAAGTTCGCTTGTTATTTTAAATTCGTATCAATATAAAGACAAATAGGGGAAAAGAAAAGAAAATAAATTTCTTGATAAATCTAAAAAAAATTCAGAGAAAGACGTATTTATAATATATAAGACTACATAAGTCAAACATTTCACTGGTGAATAATCTATTGTAAGAAATAACAAAGAAAAATTTGAAAGGAGATGTCATATGTTAGAAAAAAAGAAGATATAGACAATATATTTTAAATGTATACAAGATATACAGAGTGTCTTAAAATCATCGAATTTCTTTTCATTGGATGGAATTCTTTGAAATATTATAAAACAAAAATCTCAGTATAGAAACATCAAAGTTACAATAGTTTTTAAATTAGTAGAGATTAAAGTTATCGAATCATAAAGACATTTCACGTGCCCGAGCATGATATGACAAGTGGTAAAAGTGAATAGAATTCGTTCTTGAAAGGAAATCCGGTGGTTTTGAAACACATCCTGTGTGTGTGTGCGCGCGCGTGAGTGTTGTGCATGTCTCTGTGTAGATATTCGACGAGAAAAAGACCCTTCGTGGATATGATATTCGCAATGCCGCCATAAAAGCGCCAAGGTACATAAGGAGTAGAGCACATAAACCTCATGCAGTGCTTAATCATTAACGGTGCACTGAACCGCTGTTTTTTTTCTTATTTTTCCTTATTGTAAAATCCACATCAGCGGAAGTTCACAGAGGAATGGAAATCGGACATCGCACGCGACGTCGTCCATGCCACCACCCTCTTTCATTAGAGCAACACAGTGCTGTTTGCCGCCTTTATTGTCAGGTTGTCCGTCCCACTTATCGGTCCACCTGGTATAACCGGTTTTTGCCAACGAATCACCCAACACCGTAACCCATTCACCTTCCGCATAAAGGTCGTGTATACCTAAAGAAGCCTCATTGGGATAAGCTGTACCCTTGATCGGTCCGGAGCGATTAAATATGTCCAATAGTATCTGAAAAAAGATCAATAGATTGCACATTGCGTGAAACATTAACTAGAATAACGGTTACGTCCTCATAATCGTTATTTATCTTTCGCGTATCTTACAAATATGTTTGATGAAATAAAATCGAAATCATACGAAACATTTATTGTGTATTATACATAATCAATAATACTCGCAATAAAATTGGATTAGCTACTCACACGCTCCTCAGCAATAGAATTGATGATCGCGAGGTGACCACCTTCCTCGTTACAGTACTTTCTCGCGTCGTTCCATGTGGCGGCCCTCGTGTGCAACTTATGAGCACCGATACCTACCGTGTAATAATAATCGTCTCTCATTGGGGCGCCGTGCATGGCTACGTTGCACGAGCACATCATGCCACGCAGCATCACGTTTTGAGTATAGAATTGCTCGAGACGCTGCCGACTCTGCTGCGTCCAGCTGCGTCATCCAGTCCGATTGTCCGGGGATCGCCGAGCTATTGACCGATGTCAAACACGGGCAGGCGGATTCCGGATTATTGATGCTCGCGGCCGCGTCCTGTGCGTTCCCTTTCAGATTCGCGATGGTGATTGTCTGTGGGAAGTAGTATCTCGTTGTTGCAGCTGAGATAAACGACTCCTCGAGGACGCCAAGTAGCACAATGCAACCGACGAATAAGAAGTACACCATCATTCTTCCCGTGAATTCGTCGCTCTTCGAAGATTAGCTTTGCAAAGTACTCCACTGAGATCTGCGATCGAACAATCGTCAAGTTTGCACCCCAAATAGAGAGATTCTCTTTTAATAAAAAAATGAGAAGATATTGGAAACTATTTGTAATGAATAATGAGATAGAGATTTGTAATTAATATATGTGTATACGCACGCGAGTTATACTTTGAAGGAAATTAGTTTGTCGCCATTTCTCAACATTAATTCATATATCTACATTATAAATATTTTTTCTAATAATCTATTGAGAAAATAGAGATTTGTTCTCAATACAACAAAAGAAAATGTCATAAGCATTACTTGGTGATAATAAAAATGATATGAGAGAAATTAAATATCTCGCAATAATATGAATCTTATAATGTAATACGATAAATAAAGATATTTAATTGATAAATTCTATAATAAATTCTGAAGAATATATACATATTATATATATGTATATGAATGTTAATACCTTGTAATTGAAAAATAATTGAAAAGTATGTACACACAATATTCACAAAAAAATCTTAGAATCCGAAAAAAATGAAAGATCCACTTCAGATCTCTAATTTACCTGTACAGGCTAGTATTCGTTCTTTCAAACTGCACCAAGAAACATATGTGTACCAAACCGAGATCAAAGAAGAAATGAGACTTCCTTGTATTGTCAGCACGCCCCTATGTATGTTCCTACCCAACTGCTCCGCATATCAAGGCCAAGACAGGCTTTTGGCTAAATGACCCTCCCAAAAGACTACAGTGTTCTATCATCAGCAATCGTTAAAGAACCAGCATCAGTGGGGCGCCAATAATGGCCTTTTGCTTTACATCTGTTTATAAAACCAAGCTAATTTGGAAAGTTGAGAAGAATATACATTCTCTTAATTAAAAAAATATTTCTCGGCAAAACCTATTCTGAATAAGAAAATTAATTAAGTGCCACGGATTTATTTAAAATAGAACCAAATTGACTGTTAAAATTGTAATCTATATGTTCTTTCTTTATTTTTTTTTTAACTCACATCTTTTCGGTAAACGAGAGAAAGGATAATATTTAAAACATATACACTCAATAGCAAAATTAAAGCATCACTTATCCTGCCTCCCCAAAAATGGGGAAATTTCAAAAGAGTGTAACTTCGTCAAAAATAATCGTAAAAAAATTTGTAAAAAAGCATTCTAAAACTTGAAATATCTACTTTTGAAAATAGTAATTGATATTCGATTAATTTTTTACGAAGTTATGCCGACACAAATAAAAATGCGTTAAATCTCAAAAATTTTTATACTAACTACTGAGAAGTTCCGTGGCATGAATTAAAAATCGCATAAAAATTCGGTTTACAACATTCGAAAGCATGAAACTTTATCTTTATTTTTTTATTAAGCTGTGTACGGTTTTTCTTTCACCGAGTTAATCAACATTAAAGCAAAAAGAACCACTTTTGCTTCAATGTTAAATAACTCTGTGAAAAAAAATCTTACAGAGCTCAATTAAAAAATAAATTAAAGATAAAGATTCACGCTTTCGAATGCTGTAAACCGCATTTGTGCACAAGTTTTAGTTCGCGTCGTGGAACTTCTCAAATTTTTTGTAAAAAATTTTGAGGTTTAATGCATCTTTACTTATATTTATGTAACTTCACGAAATATCAGTAATATCGTTTTTTTTAAATATGAATATAAAAAGTAAAGATTTTAAGCTTGAAAATGGTTTTTTAAACATCTTGATACGATGATTCTTGACGAAGTTATTAATTTTATCTTGAAGTTGCCTGTAGTTTTTTAACAAAAGTAGAATCATTTAATATCAGGAAAAAAGGATCATTTTTACTTCAACATTGAATAACTCGGTAAAAAAATTGTAGAGCTCAAAAGAAATTAAAGGTAAAAATTCACTCTTTCGAAAGCTGTAAGCCGCATTTATGCATAATTTTTACTTGGCTCCGTGGAACTTTGCAAATTTCGTAAAAAATTTTGAAATCTGATGCATCTTCATTTATGTTTGTGCAACTTTATAAAATATTAGTAATACAGTTTTTTAAAGTACAGTTCTGAAAAATAGGGACTTTAAGCTTTAAAATACCTTTTTAAAAATCTTGATTTTTGACGAAGATATTCTATCTCGAAATTTGTCTATTTTTGCAGGGTGGAACAAGTTATGCATTAATTTTGTTGAAAAGTGTATTATGTACATACATATACATAGTATGTTTGCATGATTGTTTGAAATTATCGCATGTATTTCATGTATTAAGAAAATCACTATTCTGTTCAAGCGAGTAATATAAAACATTCTTTATCTTCTCATTTTATCTCTTATTTTAAAAAATATTATATAATATATATTATATAATATATGTTAGACTTTATTTATTATACTTAATATACGCGATATAAAACTAATCTAATATATTAAAATAACATGTTAATACGCATCAATTTTCATTAATACTATAGTTTTTGTGAATATATAATTTAAGAGTGAGTCTTAAGAATAATTTCATTATTTTACGATAATAAAAAAATATCTGTCGGTTTACAATGGTATTTCTTATTCAATATCATTCAATGCTCATCATGTTTTGTATCGCGATAACTGTGTTTTCGCATTTCATAGTGAAAATCGTATGCGCTTGCGACACCTTACGATATCATACAATTCGTACACAAAAGTGCCATTTTAACGGTAAATTTCAAAGTGCCATGTATATAAAATATGGACTAGCGCTCGAAGTTAATCGGAAGATTTAAGATGGGCCAACCTCTACCGTGTAAACGTCTCCGGAATATAGCACTGTAAATTTCCAGGCATACAGAATCGCAGTGATTTCTCTCCCCTCTTCCTCCCTTTTCTTTTCGTGGCATATATATCGGAAGAGTTGAGTAATCTCAATGGATTAGAAGAACATAAATTATGAACGGTTAGATCATTGGAAAAAGTATAACTTCCTCGCGGTATTAAATGGGATTGGATTCCGGATAGGGGAACAATGTGCCACTGTGGCATATTTATTATATATGTGGCAAGAAAATATGTTCCTTTCACAAATGGTGCAATTAAAGATTTCAATATTTAAATTTAAATTTTATTTTAGGACCGTACATGTGAGAAACACAACGAATAAGAAAATGCCTTTACCGATCGAACTTGGATCTTAGATAATATTATAATTTCATGTAAATTTAGATATATATTACGTATATAATCTTTTAAAACGAACAATGTTTCGGTCTTGAAACGCCACTCTACGAAACTATCGCAATAATATCACGAGTGTATATGGCATTCCATCCCAAGTGTGTCACTCAAAACTTTTGGATTTTTGATTTGGCTGAAATTTTGATATATTATAGTACCCATCGCAAAAAGCTACCATGATTTTTTTCGAATTTTATATACATATATATATACATATATACATGCATATACACTATTTTTTTGGAATTTTTATTAAATATACCATAAATATTTATATATGCATATAAAAATTATACATCATGCGCATAATGCGTGAAACGGAACGCAGCATATATGAGAACTGTGAATACAATGTGAAAAAAGCCGTCGTGATAAAGTGATTAAGAGATCTAATCAGATCTTCCTTTAACGTCGCATGTCTGTTTTCTGTAATTCTAGTTACGACTAAAAATTTACGTAGCTAGAAATAAATTACCATTATCCCAAAAATATAACTGCATTATCATGAACGTTACTCTGAAGAAAATGTAACTTTGTTATCTATTCGTTATCGAAAAAACAAATTTGTAACGGTAACGGCATTACAAATAATGCGTTACTTGTCAATCCTGCAAATGAACAATAAGATCATGATGATGTCTTTATGATTTCTATGTTCCACTTGGGTTAATTCTTCGCTAGATCTATAATAAGTACAGTATGTAATAGAAAATTTTATTAAAGAATTTACTGATGAAATGTTTTTGCTGAACGCGTTCATATACGATGTGTAACAGTTACGTTACTGAGTGGAAAATTAACAAACAGTTATCAACAGCGCGTACAGTTGTTTTTGCTGGAATACATTTTTTCTGTAAGTCATTTTACAATTATAATTTATTATTTTTATGCGTATAACTTGTGAATAACTGGTATCATCGGTATCAGTACTTGCTAAGTCTTTGAATCGTTCGATACATATATTTACTAATTTTAAAAATAACGCACAAAAACTCTCAGACCGAATAACATATTGTAAAAGAAAGTAAGCGTTTTTAAGCGAATATAGGTAATCATACATATTAAATACGAGTTTCAATGTCCGTAATAAAAAGAATCACATTAGGAGAAGAAATGAAAAAAAATCCGCAATTGATACTATCCGATGTACAATCATTGAGAGAGTGGTGCGAGAAACAACCGCACTTGCCAAAAATCGAAGACAGCTTTCTCGCTTTGTTTCTTCACAGCAATTACTATCAAATGGAACCAACAAAAAACACAATTGAGAATTATTATACTACAAGAACGCATTTACCAGACATTTTTTGCAATAGGGATTCACTTCAAGAAAAAGGATTACAACAAAACTTCAAAAATCTGTAAGCCATTTTTATAAATATCAGTGAACGTACAGCAGTAAATATAATTTATTCATATATATGGGACATTCCACGCCAAGTGGGCAACCCATTTTGCGAAGTTTCATGGATTTCGTTCATATTGCTTAAACTTGAACAGTTTGATGAATAAAGATTCTATGCCGAATAATATACCTGTAGGCCAACTGGTTGCCGAACTATAGAGCCGTCAATTTTTGGGCTTTCTCGTCGCAACGCTCTTTTCGCTTGTTATTAGTGGGCACGAAAGGAAAGTTTGGAAACGAAATGTAGACGTTTCCTTACAGAAAATTGAATGCTCTTTCACGTAAGAATACTCTTTTTTCAATCAGACCGGTTTACGACGATGTTTGTCAGTTTTGAAGTTTTCAAAATGGCGGCGCACCTAAAAGGCCAGTCTCAATTTTTTTTAAATATAGCTCAAAAGTAGCCCCAGGTCTCTACTTTGTTACTCTAAAAGAACTTAATGGAACACGCATTCGTTTGGGAGTAAGACCTTAATTGAAATGGACAGGAGGGGAGGGGGCGATTTAACGGAGAGCGCTCCATATTATATATATATATATATATATAATAGTTAATTAATATTTAAAATTTCAAACGCAATAATACATAATTTGAGATCCATGCAGAAAATAAAATAAATTCTATAGGATGTGTCGATATTACACTTTTGAAAATATTATATAGAATATTTTTAATATTCTTTATATATACACACACATACACTTATATTAATAAAATTAAATTAATTAATTTGATTTAAAAAGGGCTATTTTCCCTCTGAATGGATTAACAAAGGATGGCTATAAGATGATATTTGTAACATTACTGGAGAGTGATCCTTCCTTCTATAATCAGAATATCAGTTCGAAACATATCTTGATGTTAATCGACGTACATTTACTGCTGGATGGTACAAATAATGGTTATGTTTTCATAATAGACGCTAGCAAATTTTCTTTCGGTCATATTGCGCGATCGAATCTATTGGGAATTAAGAATCATCTATACTACATTCAAGAAGCAGCGCCAATACGTTTAAAAGAAAACCATGTTATAAACGCGGCACCCGCCGCAGAATTGTTATTCAACATGGGAAAGCCTTTCATGAAAAGCGAGTTAATAGACACAGTAAGTACCACAAATCAATTATTTAAGTTTTAATTGTACTTAATTAACAACAGCCGTTTTTAAAAAATGCAATCATTTTCAATAAGCGTGATATAAGCGCAATCAAATAATTCAAATGTAATTATAACAATTGTTTCTAATCGTACTCTTTTATAGATCTAAATAAATCAAGAATATTATACAAAATATTATTTTTTATCATCTCACGATAAGTGTAGAAATTGTTGTGTTTAATTATTCATAATGTCATAACGTTAAATGAAATAATTATATTCACAATAATTATACTTTTCTACTTACAATTAGATAAACTTTTTGAATTTATTTAACTCTTTTAGATACATTTTCACTCATCGTTAGAGAGCCTTTCTGAATATATCCCAGTGGATGCATTACCAACCGAAACAGGTGGAAAAGCTGGTTCCGTGCACAAACTAGCTGAAATTCAAGAGAAAAAATTCGAAGACTATCGCGAATGGTTCCTGTTGGATGAATCAACCAGACGCGTTAACGAAGCATTAAGAATTGGCAAGAGCAAAACAGTAAATGATTTGTTTGGTATAGACGGTAATTTTAAAAAACTTGATATAGATTAATAAATATTTATAACTTCGCCTGATTTAACTAATTATGCTATTATCATGCTATTATGCTATTATCTGTATACATATGTCTGTTATTTTTATATTTTAATTTATAATGCAAATACTATGTTGAAATAATGTTTTCACTGAATACTGTTTACAATTAATGCGATCTTTATTAGGTCATTATCAATGTTAAAAAATCGCAAGAATCGTTAACGATGTACAGAATATGATATTGAAGAAAATCACAAAAACGAATACATATGTAAAAATATTATAAAATATGAAAAATATGTATATAAATTTTGTGATGTGGGTATTTAATCTCACTCGCTATTGAAGACTTAATCATCTCGGCGCAAATTGGCAAGAGTCCGACAAAAAGCAATCATTAAATAATGTAAATTGTGAAAAGCTCCACATTTCTAAATCAAATAGTAAAATAATAAAACAGTGTCAGTAATAAATACAAATAATAAAGAAAAGAATGTAAAAAAAAGAATATAATGTAAGAGTCAATTGATCAGTAAAAAAGTAAATTTTCAAAGCAATAAATCAAAATGAATATAATGTGAAATTACAATATATTGCAAGTAACTCATATCCATTTTGTTAATTTAGTAACAATTAAATTAAATGATAATAAATTACCTTGTAAAATTGTATAAAAATACAATTATGATTAATATTAGAACAATGCGAAGAGAGACCCATTTCAAGATGTTAACAATAAACAATTTAAAATTAGAATAACCGTACATCTCAAGTACAAAGGAACTAACAAATGGAAATAAGGAGAAAATCTGGAAGGGGTAAAATAAAGTAGGAATAAAAGTGAAAAAAATAAGAAAATTTACGAAGAAGAGAGAGAGTTAATTATCTGAGAATAAGTTTCTAATAAAGATTCTGTATCATTTTGTTTATTAAGATTAAGACCCTGTTTTTGCCTTTTGATGTGAATCATTTCAGACAATATTATTTTATATTTTGCACTTTGTCGTGTTATACATATATAATTATTGTATCGTGTTTCTGTTATGCGTTTATTTTCTTGCAACTTTTTTGATCAATTGAATTAAAAAAAATTTCTTCGATAACATTAGAACGAAATTGTACTTTTTATTTACACCCTACGAAAATCGACGTCCAATTCTAATTTCTAATTTGTAATCCTCAGTCTTCGTAGTGTGTAGTGCAACATGGATTTAATACTCGCAAAAGTTACACTCCAGCAAATGCCAACTAATAAGAATATAATCGTTAACTATATTTTCCTCACAACAGTTCTACTGTATAATAGTTACATTGAGTAAATATAGTTGGTCAGTGAGTGTTCCTCAGGTAGAACACCATATCATAATAAAATCATAACGATATTATATTTTAGTAGTTATATGCCCCCCAAAAAATGGACTTTGGTAGCTCGGGATAAGAGACTTGTAGTGTCTTTCAGTTTTTGAACATGGCCGGAGATATTGCCGCGTCTCCTGATCAAGGATGTCATCAAGGCGTCACTTGATTCTTCAAAATAAGCTTATAAATGACAAATAAGATCAGGATATTTTTACGATATTATTATACTATAAGACACTTTTACGTGAGTCAATCTTTCGCTGGATCTAATTGTAAGTGTTGTAGTGTGTAAGAACAAACAGCATTAAAAAATTTACTGATGAGATTTTTTGTTGAACGCGCTCATATATACATATGTTGTGTAAGAGTTACGTACATTACTGAGTGGAAAATTAACAAACAGTTATTAATAGCGCGTATTTACAGTTGTTTTTGCTGGATATTTTTTCTGCAAGTCATTCTACAATAATAATTTATTATTTATGCGTATAACTTGTGAATAACTGGTATCATCGGTAATCAGTACTTGCTAAGTCTTTGAATCGTTCGAAACATTTTTATTAATTTTGAAAACATTTCACTACACAAACTGTTGGAAAGAATATAATATTGTAAAGGAACAGAAACGTTGTTAAGACGATAAAGTACATATAAAATTCGAGTTTCAATGTCTATAACACAAGGAATTACATTAGAAGAAGAAATGAAGAGGAATCCTCAATTGAAACTGTCAGATGTACAATCACTGAGGGAATGGTGCGAGAAACAACAGCACTTGCCAAAAATTGAAGACAATTTTCTCGCTTTGTTTCTTCACGGCAATTACTATCAAATGGAACCAACAAAAAACAAAATCGAGAATTATTATACGACAAGGACGCTTTTATCAGACATTTTTTGCAATCGGGATCCGCTTGAAGAAAAAGGGTTACAACAAATCTTCAAAACTCTGTAAGCCATTTTATAAATATTAATGATTGAACAGCAGTAAAATAATTTGTACATGTATTATATACAATGGTCAGTTTATAATTTTTTAAATTTTAACCGCATTAATACATAATTTCAGATCTATGCAGATAATAAAATTAATTCTATAAGATCTATAAATATTATACTTTTGAAAGTATCATAAAATATTTTTAATATTTTTTTGCACATTTCTTATCTTAATAAATTTAAATAAATTAATTTCATTTGAAAAGGGCTCAGTTTTTACTGAAAGGATTAACAAAGGATGGATATAAGATGATATTTTTCTCATTACTGGACAGCGATCCTTCTTCCTACGACTATAATTATGGCTTCAAATATACCACAATGTTAACCGACGTACATTTTATGATGGATGGTTCAAATAATGGTTATGTTTTCATAATCGACGGCAACAAATTTTCCTTCGGTCATATTATGAAAATGAATCCATTGGTATTGAAGAAATATGTGTACTACATTCAAGAGGCGGCGCCGATGATTCTAAAAGCAATTCATATTATAAACTCGTTACCTGCCATGGAAATGTTGATGAAGTTGGTAAAGCCTTTCATGAAAAAAGAGTTGGTAGACGCAGCAAGTATCACAAATCAATTATTTAAATTCAATTACGTTTAATTAACACAACAGCCGATTTTTAAGAAGTGCAATAATTTCCTACAAGCGTGATTTAAGCGCGATCTTCGTATAATTCAAATGTAGTTAATAACCGTTTCTAATCGTACTCTTATAAAGGACTTCGGGCCCAGCCATAGGGTAAATGGATCCCGGACAAATTGGTTGAACCTGTAAGTATGTTGTTCTTCATAATCTCCTGATCAAAAGTGTTATTGGGCACCAAGTAAGAATACACACACACACACACACACACACACACACACACACACACACACGCACGCACGCTCGCTCGCTCACTCGCTCACTCACTCGCTCAATCTCTCACTCGCTCACTCACTCACTTACTCACTCACACAAAAATGCGACTCTAAAGAATTATTATCGTGGATACTCTGAAATAGAATATCCCCAATATCCTCGTTTTTACTATGTTCAATATCTGATAATTCGAAAAGTAGATGGTTTCGGACTTGGTGCCCATTAACACTTTTGATCAGGAGATTATGAAGAACAACATACTACAGATTCAACCAATTTGACCGGGATCCATTTTTCCTATGGCTGGGCCCGGGGTCCTATTTTTAAATAAATCAAGAATTTTACCCAAAATATAATTTTTTATCATTATCTAGCGATAAAGGTAAAAATTTTTTAGTTTAATTATCCATAACATCATAAATGGACAAATTATACTCACACAATGCTGTGTGGTATACTATTTTATTTATTTAAGTTTTTCTAAATTTATTTAACTCTTCTAGATATATTTTCACTCCTCGTTAGAGAGCCTTTCTGAATATATCCCAGTGGATACGTTGCCAAACGAATCAGGAGGAAAAGCCGGTTCCGTGCACAAACTAGCTGAAATTGTAGTGAAAAAATTCGAAGACTATCGCGAGTGGTTTCTCTTGGATGAATCATCCAGACGCGTTAACGAAGCATTAAGAATTGGCAAGAGCAAAACAGAAAATGAATTGTTTGGTATAGATGGTAATTTTAAAAAACTTGATATAGATTAATAAATATTTATAACTTCGTCTGATTTAACTAATTATGCTGTTATTATATGTAATCTCTACTAATATTATTTTATACTTTGCACTTTGTCGTGTTATATCATATATAATTATTGTATCGTGTTTCTGTTATGCGTTCATTTTCTTGCAACTTTTTTGATCTTCTGAATTTAAAAAAATTTCTTCGATAACAGTAAAACGAAATTGTACTTTTTATTTACCCCCTACGAAAATCGATGTTCAATTCTAATTTCTAATCTGTAATCCTCAGTCTTCGCAATATGTAATGCAACATGGATTTAATGCTCGCAAAAGTTACACTCTAGCAAATACCATCTAATAACAACATAATCGTTAATTATATTTTCCTCACAACAGTTTAACTATATAATATAGTTACATATTGAGCAAATATAGTTGGTCAGTGAGTGTTCCTCAGGTAGAAAACCATGTCATAATAAAATCATAACAATATTATATTTTGGTAGTTATGTACCCCCAACGAATGGACTTTGGTGGCTCGGGATAAGAGACTTGTAGTGTCTTCCAGTTTTTGAACATGGCCGGAGACACTACCGCGTCTTCTGATCAAGGATGTCATCATGGTGTCACTTGATTTTTCAATATAAACTTATAAATGACAAATAAGATCAGGATATTTTTATGATATTACCAGGGGCACCAACTTGCCGATTGGCGTGTGTGGAGTTGAACTATAATATATTAATATATGTATATATTACATATATATATTATATATATACATATATATATTAATATATTATTCTTAGAAATATATTTAAATATTAAAATAAATTCCCGTTGAGAGTCAACACAGGATGAAAGTGTGTGATAAAATTTATTTAGTTATATAAATATATAAAATCGCATACGTTTCGACCTTAGTCCAGGTCCTTTTCAATGTATGAATTACACCAATATTAAAAAAATTCTTTGATATAATAAATGGTGTCAAAAACAATTACGATACAAGAAAAACTAATAACTACATGGTGTTGTCATTCTAAAATTCTATGTTTTTCATGGTTTTTAATTCTAAAATTCTATAAAAATCTGACACAATCACATTATTAGTAAATTTTGCACTTCAATGATCGTGATATTTGATTACAAGTGGACAACACCATGTAGTTATTAGTTTTTCTTGTATTGTATTTGTTTTTGACACCATTTACTCCATCAAAGAATTTTTTAAATATTAGTGTAATTCATGCATTGAAAAAGACCTGGACTAAGGTCGAAACGTATGCGATTTTATGTAACTAAATAAATTTTATTACACACTTTCATCCTGTGTTGGTTCTCAACGGCAATTTATTTTAATATTTGATTTATCATAGGAGCCTCTTGTATATGTATTGTTATTAAATGTATTTAACTTCGTGAAACATTTAGATTTAGAGCATATAATTAATATATTAATAGAGTATACATTTATATATCAATACATTATTCTTAGAAATATATTTAAGTTCGTGAATCATTTAGAGCAAACGTTGAGCTTCGATTCTTATTTCTTACAATGAATTCATCCATAAGTGCTTCTATATCTAAAGTCTCAGCAATATCGGAGTGCACGTGAAGTACAGCTAATGAATTCAAAATACGTAAATACGTTTTCAATCTTCTCAAGGCAGAGAAAGAACGTTCTGCAGTACACGTCGTCACCGGTATTGTTAATAATATTTTAATTAGTTTTGTGTACTTTGAAACTAAGTCTCTCACTGATTTATCTTTTTGAAGAATCGTAATAACATCTCCGAGAGATGATACAAAGTTCCAAAAAAATTTTTCTATTTTTCCTTAACACTAGTTATTTAAAAAAAAACAGTTTACATGTGGAATTCCACACATGAAAAATTTTGGCGTGTGGAGTACTCCGCACACTTCTTGCAAAAGTTAGCGCCCCTGGATATTACTATGACTTCTACGTGAGTATCCTTCGCTGGATCTAAGTGTTGTAGTGTATAAAAATAAACAGCAATAAAAAATTTACTCGTGAGATTTTCTGCTGAACGCGCTCATATACATTATGTTATGTAAGAGTTACGTTACTGAGTGGAAAATTAACAGACAGTTGTGTTTCTATATGTGTGTTCGCTAGAGCGTATATTTTTGCATATTTGCTGCAAATTAATTTATAATCATAATGTATTATTTATGCGTATAACCTGGTATCATCGGTATCAGTACTTGCTAAGTCTTTGAATCGTTCGAAACATTTTTATTAATTTTGAAAACATTTCACTACACAAACTGTTGGAAAGAATATAATATTGTAAAGGAACAGAAACGTTGTTAAGACGATAAAGTACATATAAAATTCGAGTTTCAATGTCTATAACACAAGGAATTACATTAGAAGAAGAAATGAAGAGGAATCCTCAATTAAAACTGTCCGATATACAATCACTGAGAGAATGGTGCGAGAAACAACAGCACTTACCAAAAATCGAAGACAGCTTCCTCGCTTTATTTCTTCACAGCAATTACTATCAAATAGAACCAACGAAAAATAAAATCGAAAATTATTATACGACAAGGACACTTTTATTAGACATTTTTTGCAATCGGGATCCGCTTCAAGAAAAAGGGTTACAACAAATCTTCAAAACTGTGTAAGCCATTTTATAAATATTAATGATCCAACAGCAGTAAAATAATTTGTTCATGGATTATATAAAATGGTCAGTTTATAAGTTTTTAAATTTTAACCACATTAATAGATAATTTCAGATGTATGCAGAAAATAAAATAAATTCTATAAGACGTATTTATAAATATTATACTTTTGAAAGTACCATAAAATATTTTTAATATTTTTATGGACATACACTTCTTATCTTAATAAATTTAAATAAATAAATTTGATTTGAAAAGGGCTCAGTTTTTACTGAATGGATTAACAAAGGATGGATACAAGATGATATTTTTCTCATTACTGGACAGCGATCCTTCTTTCTACGACTATGATTATAGCTTGAAATATACCGCAATGTTAACCGACGTACATTTTTTGATGGATGGTACAAATAATGGTTATGTTTTCATAATCGACGCCAGCAAATGTTCCTTCGGTCATGTTATGAAAATGAATCCATTTGTAATGAAGAAATATATGTACTACATTCAAGAGGCAGCGCCGATGAATTTAAAGGCAATCCATATTATAAACTCGTTACCTGCCATGGAAATGTTGATGAAGATGATAAAGCCTTTCATGAAAAAAGAGTTGGTAGACGCAGTAAGTATCACAAATCAATTATTTAAATTCAATTGCATTTAATTAACACAACAGCCGAGTTTTAAAAAGTGCAATAATTTCCTACAAGCGTGATATAAGCGCGATCAAATAATTCAAATGTGATTAATAACCGTTTGTAATCGTACTCTTATAAATTTATTTTTAAATAAATCAACAAGAATTTTGCACAAAATATAATTTTTTATCATTATCTCGCGATAAATGTAGACATTTTTTAGTTTAATTATCCATAACATCATAAATGGACAAATTATACTCACACAATGCTGTGGAATACTATTCTACTTATATAAGTTTTTTTATTTAACTCTTCTAGATATATTTTCACTCGTCGTTAGAGAGCGTTTCTGAATATATCCCAGTGGATGCGTTGCCGAACGAAACAGGTGGAAAAGCTGGATCCGTGCACAAACTAGCTGAACTTCAAGAGAAAAAGTTCGAAGAATATCGCGAGTGGTTTCTGTTGGATGAATCAACCAGACGCGTTAACGAAGCATTAAGAATTGGCAAGAGCAAAACAACAAATGATTTATTTGGTATGGAGGGTAATTTTAAAAAACTTGATATAGATTAAAAAATAATTTATAAATTTATAATTATATAAACATATGTAAAATGTTGTATAGCATCACAAAGTTTATTAATTGCATCAACGAGGTAAATAATATATATTAAGGCAAGTACAAATTATATTTAAACATTTATGCAATATTTGATATGTTGATGCGTTACAAACAATCCTGTGAATTTACAAGAGGGGATTTACAATATATATATTTTAGAAAAAATGGTTCAAATTATCTCACAAATTTTTTATTTATTTTAATATTTATTGAATTTAAAAAATAATTAAACCAACACACACACACACACATACACACACACACACATACACACACAGGGCTACGAGCCAACATTCATTAAATTGTAAAAGACTTAGTAAATAAAAGATGTCATTAGTTAAAAATATAATATAAAGTTTAATAAAATTTAAAATTTTAAAAACAGACGTTTCGATCTTCATTAGGTCATTTTCAATGTTAAGTCGCAAAATATCGTTAACGATGTACAAACAACGATATTATAAAAATTACATAAACGAATACATATGTAAAAATATTAATAAAATATGAAAAATATGTATATACATTCTGTGATGTGGGTATTTTATAATCTCACTCGCTATTGAAGACATATCATATCGACGTAAAATGGCAAGAGTCCATCAACAAAGCAAGACATCAAATAATGTAAATTGTGAGAAACTCCACATTTCTAAATTAAATAGTAACATAATAAAACAATGTCAGTAATAGATAAAAATAATAAAAAAAGGAATATAACGAAAAGAATATAATATAAGAGTCAATTGATCAGTAAAAAAGTCAATACACAAGGCAATAAATTGAAATGGATATATAATGTAACACTACAAAATAACGTAAGTAACTCATATCCATTTTGTTAATTTAGTAACAATTAAATTAAAAGATAATCAATTACCTTGTAAAATTGTATCAAAATACAATTATGATTAATATAAGTTAGAACAATGCGAAGAGAGCCATTTTAAGATGTTGACAATAATAAACAATTTAAAATCAGAATAACCGAACATCTCAAGTACAAAGGAACTACAAATGGAAATAAGGGGAAAATTAGGAAGGGGTAAAAATGTAATAAAGTGGGAATAAAAGTGAAAAAGGTAAGAAAATTTACGAAGGAGAGAGAGAGTTGATTTTCTGAGAATAAGATTCTGGTAAAGAGAGAACTCTGTATCATTTTGTTTATTCAGACCCTGTTTTTGCCTTTTGAATCATTTCAGACACCAATCTCTTATTGTAAGAAGATTCAATGTCTAAAATTTGGACATCATTCCATTTAAAATTGTGGTCAAAGTTGATACGATGTTCAGTAATGACAGAAGGAGAACCTGTCCTTTTTCTATAATGTCAGACATATGTTCTTTTAGTCTGGTACTCAATTTTCTTTTTGTTTGATCAACATAGCTAGCTTCACAATCATCAGGTAATCTTATAAATAACATTGTTGTTAGAAAAATGTTCTAATTTATCTTTACCTCTTTTAAGGGGTTATATACACACGCAGCACGAAAAATGACGACATTTTCACGATTTTTTTTCGACAGCAAAATAAAAATTTATTTAAAAACTATTAATGGTATCATTTAGTACATGTCAAATTTTTTTTGTTAAAAAATATTTTAAAATAGCGGAACTGCAGCTGTTGCCCTGGAGCGCCTAGTTTTCAGCATCACTTGCGGTGGACAAGATTACTCGAGAACGGATCATCTGAAATCAAAATGTAAAAAGATTTCGTTAGTATATTGTATTATCTAGTAGATGAACGAAGGATTTGTCAAAATTTCAATTATTAATTACTTTAATAATAATTAATTAAAGTACTTAATAGCATACATGTATTATATATCATATATGTTAATTTTAAAACTATGATTCTTAATAACTTTTTAACGAAGGGCGAGCGACGGCTAAAACTTGTTGGAGGTTACTCAGGATCATGACCTTGACAACATATGTCAAGGTCAAGGTCATTGGAGGTGGCTCCCCTAAAGTGAACAATTACCCTATTGAGAATTAAGAATCATCTATACTATATTCAAGAGGCAGCGCCGCGTACGTTTAAAAGCAAACCATGTTATAAACGCGGCACTTGCCGCAGAAATGTTGATTAAAATGGCAAAGCCTTTTATGAAAAGCGAGTTAATAGACATAGTAAGTATCACACAAATCAATTATTTAAGTTCTAATTATATACTTAATTAACAGCCGTTTTTTAAGAAGTGTAATCATTTCCAATAAGCATGATATAAGCGCAATCAAATAATTCAAATGTAATTATAACAATTGTTTCTAATCGTATTCTTTTATAGATCTAAATAAATCAAGAATATTATACAAAATATAATTTTTTACCATCTCGCGATAAGTGTAGAAATTGTTGTGTTTAATTATTCATAATGTCATAACGTTAAATGAAATAATTATATTCACAATATGTTATACTTTTCTACTTACAATTAGATAAATTTTTTGAATTTATTTAACACTTTTAGATACATCTTCACTCATCGTTAGAGAGCCTTTCTGAATATATACCAGTGGATGCATTACCAAACGAAACAGGTGGAAAAGCTGGTTCCGTGCACGAACTAGCTGAAATTCAAGAGAAAAAATTCGAAGACTATCGCGAGTGGTTTATATTGGATGAATCAACCGGACGCGTTAACGAAGCATTAAGAATTGGCAAGAGCAAAACGGTAAATGATTTGTTTGGTATAGAGGGTACTTTTAAAAAACTTGTTATAGATTAATAAATATTCATAACTTTGTCTGATTTAACTAATTATGCTATTATTATGTAATCTCTATTAATGTTTATTTTATATTTTGCACTGTGTCGTGTTATATATAATTATTGTATCGTGTTTCTGTTATGCGTTCATTTTCTTGCAACTTTTTTGATCAACTGAATTAAAAAAAATTTCATCGATAACATTAGAACGAAATTGTACTTTTTATTTACACCCTACGAAAATTAATGTCCAATTCTAATTTCTAATCTGTAATCCAGTCTTCGTAATGTGTAATGCAACATTGATTTAATGCTCGCAAAAGTTACACTCCAGCAAATATCAACTAATAACAACATAATCGTTAACTATATTTTCCTCACAACAGTTTAACTATACAGTAGTTACATTGAGCAACTATAGTTGGTCAGTGAGTGTTCCTTAGGTAGAACACCATGTCATAATAAAATCACAACGATATTATATATTTTAGTAGTTATGTACCCCCGAAGAATGGACTTTGGTGACTCGGGATAAGAGACTTGTAGTGTCTTTTAGTTTTTGAACATGGCCGTAGACACTACCGCGTCTCCTGATCAAGGATGTCATCATGGTGTCACTTGATTCTTCAAAATAAACTTATAAATGACAAATAAGATCAGGATATTTTTATGATATTATTATGACTTTTACGTGAGTCAATCTTTCGCTGGATCTAACAATAAGTGTTGTAGTGTGTAAGAACGAAGAGCAATAAAAAATTTACTCATGAGATTTTCTGCTGAACGCGTTCATTTACATTATATGTTATGTAAGTTACATTATACTGAGTGAAAAATTATCAAACAGTTGTGTATCTATAGGTGTGTTCGCTGGAGCGCATATTTTTGCATATTTGCTGCAAATTAATTTATAATCATAATGTATCATTTATGAATATAACCTGGTATCATCGGTATCAGTACTTGCTAAGTCTTTGAATCGTTCGAAACATTTCTATTAATTTTGAAAACATTTCACTACAAACTCTCGAAAAGAATACGATATTGTAAATTAAAGAAAGCGTTGTTAAGACGATAAAGTACATATAAAATTCGAGTTTCAATGTCTGTAACAAAAGGAATTTCATTAGAAGAAGAAATGAAGAGGAATCCTCAATTGAAACTGTCAGATGTACAATCACTGAGGGAATGGTGCGAGAAACAACAGCACTTGCCAAAAATTGAAGACAACTTTCTTGCTTTGTTTCTTCACAGCAATTACTATCAAATGGAACCAACGAAAGACAAAATCGAAAATTATTATACGACAAGGACACTTTTATTAGACATTTTTTGCAATCGGGATCCGCTTGAAGAAATAGGGTTACAACAAATCTTCAAAACTATGTAAGCCATTTTATAAATATTAATGATCGAACAGTTGTAAAATAATTTGTTCATGTATAGGTATATAAAATGGTCAGTTTATAATTTTTTAAATTTTAACCACAATAATACATAATTTGAGATATATGCAGAAAATATAAAATAAATCTTATAAGATGTATAAATATTATTATACTTTTGAAAGTATCATAAAATATTTTTAATATTTTTTTGCACACACATTTCTTATCTTAATAAATTTAAATAAATTAATTTGATTTGAAAAGGGCTCAGTTTTTACTGAATGGATTAACAAAGGATGGATATAAGATGATATTTTTCTCATTATTGGACAGCGACCCTTCTTCCTACAACCTTGATTATAGCTTCAAATATACCACAATGTTAACCGACGTACATTTTTTGATGGATGGTACAAATAATGGTTTTGTTTTCGTAATCGACGGCAGTAAATTTTCCGTCGGTCATATTATACGATTTAATCCATTGGTATTGAAGAAATGTGTGTACTACGTTCAAGAGGCAGCGCCGATGAGTATAAAGGCAATCCATATTATAAACTCGTTACCTGCCATGGAAATGTTGATGAAGTTGGTAAAGCCTTTCATGAAAAAAGAGTTGGTAGACGCAGTAAGTATCACAAATCAATTATTTAAATTCAATTGCGTTTAATTAACACAGCAGCCGATTTTTAAGAAGTGCAATAATTTCCTACGTGATATAAGCGCGATCAAATAATTCAAATGTGATTAAAAACTGTTTCTAATCGTACTCTTATAAATTTATTTTTAAATATATCAAGAATCTTGCACAAAATATAATTCTTTATCATTATCTCGCGATAAATGTAGAAAAAAATTTTTTAGTTTAATTATCCATAACATCATAAATGGATAAATTATACTCACACAATGGTGTATTATTCTACTTATATAAATTTTTCTAAATTTATTTAACTCTTCTAGATATATTTTCACTCCTCGTTAGAGAGCCTTTCTAAATATATCCCAGTGGATACGTTGCCAAACGAATCAGGAGGAAAAGCCGGTTCCGTGCACAAACTAGCTGAAATTGGAGTGAAAAAATTCGAAGACTATCGCGAGTGGTTTCTATTGGATGAATCAGCCAGACGCGTTAACGAAGCATTGAGAATCGGCAAGAGCAAAACAACAAATGATTTGTTTGGTATGGAGGGTAATTTTAAAAAACTTGATATAGATTAGTAAATAGTTTGTAAATTTATAATTATATACACACACACATGTTAGATGTTACATAGCTCCACAAAGTTTATTAAATGCATCAATGAGGTAAATAATATATATTAAGGCAAGTACCCACATATTCAAACATTTATGCAATATTTGATATGTTGATGCGTTGTAAACAATCTTGAGAATTCACAAGAGGTGATTTACAATATATATATTTTAGAAAAAATAGTTCGAATTACCTCGCAAATTTTTTATTTATTGAATTGTTTACAAATTTATTTGATGATTTAATACATTAATAGAAAAGATGAGGTAAGGAAATATGTACCTAAAAAAACGAAAAATATTTGATTTTTTGAAAAATTTATTAATCTTACATTCAGTATTGGAGGTAGGCAAACACTATTTGATACGCGTAAACAAATTGCGGATTACACATAAATTCAAAAGATTATCATTAAAAGTAAAACAGTTAAATAAAGTTTCAGAATTATACTAGCTAACTCTGCAATGGAATTTATCTTCTTTACAGTTATTTGTAGTTTTTAGTTTTATTAAATTAATAACATAGCACATAAGTTGGAATGAAATAAAAAAACCTTAACTGTACTATAAACTTGAACATCACACTTTCATTACATATCTTAATATTTGTATTTGAAATTCATTTTTACTAAATATCGTACTTTCACCTGAGCAACATCATACACGATATATTCATTGTATAATAATGTCGAAGTAGTATTAACTTTAGCAGGTACTCCCTTTCCATAAGGTACTTCAACGCCATCCTTAGTCTTGTAGGTACTTTGCGGATCAGGTTGCGTCTGACCATGACCCATGGTCGAATGTTTTCCTTTCGGTAGCTTCTCGATATAGTCCGCTTTATATCTGTCGTACATATTACCCAAGGCCACTTCGCAAAGCAGCAACAAACCAGTTGGATTCTGACTGTGCGTACAACAATAATTTGCAGACTTCGACACCATATCGGCGAAATATATACCCTTGCCGAACATGTAACCGGTAACAGGTGCTTCCGGCGGTGCAATACGTAAACCTTGAGACAGTATTCCTGCGTAATTCGTAGTTCTAGATCCGTGCCAGAGCAACTTTCTGTTGGGCAATTTCTTGAAAGGCTTGAACCTCTGTTCTTCTCCCTGTCTCTTAACAATAAATACTTCCTCGATTTCGAGTTCGTATTGCGTATGAGTAGCCGCATGTGTATTCTTGACATACTTCTCGATCATCTGGAACTCCTCGCTCGTTTTATCCATCACTTCGATGTCTGTGTTCAATTGCTTATAATGACTGTCAAGCGGATTTTCTTTCTCGTTAGTCTTATCACATAAAAGATTATACGCAATCTCCATCTCAAGTAGCGCATCCAGCATGTCGCACTTGATCTTAATTTCTTCCAATGATCCAAGAATTTTTGGTCCGGAAACTCCAAAATTGTGTGGTATCAGTGTATAGAATCTGTTAGAAGCATCGACCAATGTAGCGCGCTCCACGTCATCAGCTGTTACCTTCAGTATCTCTTGCAATTCCGTTAAAACAGCATAAGCTTTCTCAATTTGTTTCTTGGACAATTTTCCGAGCGGCATCTTATCCAGATCTATCTCAAACTCCAACATAACTTTTTTCATCTCAGCTACGTCAAAAATAAGACGTATCAAGTCCTGAATTGGTTTCTGCAAGTTACTCTTGATATCTGAATCTAGGGAAACAACCTCCTGATCCCCATGATCTATGTCGATCGGATACATCAAATTCGGTACTTTGACAAAATGCTCTCTATTCTTCCACGGATTACCTGTCTTCTCTTCGTACAACGATTCAAATTGTTCTATGCACTCTTCCAAAGACATTCCGTCTAACTTGTTACCGCCAATTGTAGTGCCAATTCGGCCCCAACTTCTAAATAAATGATATCTCTCATGTTTATCATGTTTCAAAATTTGCATTTTGTAATAACTGTTTTTCTTTAACTGTATGTTCGTTAGACCTAACGTCACGGTGTATTTATCTTTGCCTTTTTGATAAATATGCGCAACATTTTCTAAACCGCTATCAGAATCAACAGCTCCACCGCCTTTCACCTTTACCTTCATTTTACCAGAACTTGACTTCTCAAATCTGCTTTTACTCTTAGAAGCAGATTTTGCGATAACGTTAGACAGTCTAGCATTAATATCGCCACCCCAGCTAGAAATAGTTTTCTTTTTTAGGAGCATGATGGGAGAATCTGTGTACTCTTTTGCTTCTTCTATAAAATCTTCTGTTATTACTTGAATATCGTGTGACTTAACATCTTCCATTCTTTTATTCATTTTATCCACTTCATTTTGATTCGAAATTACAGCAGCCAAATCTTGATGGATTTTTGTTGTAACAGTACCACCCAACAATAAGATTGCTCTTTTCAATTCCTCTTTATCTCTCTGTGTACGACCTAATATAACAAACTGCATGTTCTTCAAAGGATATGGTTTCCCTTGTACTTTCGGCCCATCTACTTCATCTTCCTCTTTTTTAATAGCACTCGATGATGATGGCACTATTACATTAAATATCCGTTTTCTCACCTTAGATTTATATGATCTAAAAACGAATTACACGATTGTATAATAATCCATCTTCATATCAAAATTACTAATTTTGAAATAAAGAAGTGTATAAAAATAATTTATTTAATTAAGTTCTATATATGGTCTGATGAGAGAACATACTTAGTTTGGAATACATCCATGTCACTTGGTATTTCGCATTTTTTTCTTTTTGGGTCTTGTGTAACATACTCGCATTTACTCCATTCTGTTGCATTGCCAGTGCATTTATAACCTAAACCAGAATTATATATGAGCTGTCCATCACATTTTGGACAGGGTTGTAGAGCTCCAAAATATAGTATATCAGTCAAAAGACTTGTGATCTATAAATATACAATTTAATTAGTAGTATAATAAACTGCCAGTGATATAATAACTTGTTTAAAAGTTATACAATAGATTTACAATAAAAAAAATTGAAGTATATATAATAATACAAATCTATATTTTTAAAGCACTTACATTTGATATGCCACTTGGAATTCCCTGATTATTTATTTCTAATAATTCAATCATTTCTTTCTTTTCAAGATGTGATATTTTATCTTTTATAGCATACAGCTCATCATTTTGCTTTTTTATCAATTTTGTTTCCTCTGCATCCTCTGGTTCATCCTTAACCTTTTTAGGAGGTGGTGGCACATCACCCTGAGCCATTTTAGGTAATGAAGTCTTAAGATTTGCTTGATCTTCTTTCGAGAGTTGTTTGGCACCTGGAAGCTCATCTCCTCTGCCATAGTATCCAAAATCCGTTCTTAGTTTCACGAAACATTCCACATGAAGCCATCTGTCCAAACCACCAAATCTCCTAGCTTCTTCACTCTCATAATCTTTCTTTGCTATTCTTGTTTCACCTTTTATTATTTTTTCTTGGCATCCTATGCATGTGGATCTACTGGACTTGGCATATTCTACTCTAAAATCTCCAGAAGCACCACCACCTTTTGTTCTTTTCCTTCCTTTTGATACAGTAGGAGCATTACGACATTCCTCTGCAAGTAAAAAATGTAATAGTTAAGATAATCAAACAATTTAATTGAAATTATAAATTTTACTTAAGTCGTACACCAACCAATTTTCTTTCGAATTTGATCTTGATCATTGTTTCGAATCTGATCAAAACAAGCTATGTCATTAGTGGAACTTGGTCTTTGTTTTGAGAAGAAACATTTGAAGTGATACCATCTAGGTATCTTTCCATCATGAACAGGGCTCTGAAAATATTATTTTTCTGAGATTTATTTTTTGAACACATTGTCTTAAAATTTCTTAATTTCTTAAAGCATGATTAATTATATTTGTTTAAAATAAATACAAAGCAATATACAGAATACATCAATGTTACATTATGAGAAAAGAATACGTTGTTTTTAGATTTTCAAGTAACATAGCAAAAAATATGTTAATATGCAACAGCATCACAATACTTATTGAATTCAATTATTTGCACATATATGACGCAATTCGGCAATTATCAAGAATAACATCGGGTGCTTTATCATTACAAAAGATCGATAGTTCAATGATAATGCACGCATTCACATCTTTAAAAAAATGTAGCTCGCCATTAATTGCGACAATGCTGAGCACAAATGATGCGTAATATATTCGCGTGGTTTCTTTGTCGTAAAATTCAATATACATACCTGAACAACGGCAGCGAGCCTCAGATTCGTCTTCATGATTGATTGCTTGCATAATTGGCACTTCGAGCGATCGCTTTTCGCGTACTCTACAAGATACGGCAAATCGTCGTCCATCTCGCCGAATATCCGTTAATATTTGTCACCTCGAATCTCTCGGACAGTTGCAAAAACGAAACAGCGAGAAATCGCAGAAAACGACGCTATCGTAACAACGACGGTTGACCGGGTTGACATGTGGCGCTAACACCGGTCACGTTCGGCATTTTGGCAACGGTAGACACTGAACGGTAGATACCTAGAATCCCTATAATGGAGATTCTAGTAGATTTCAAACATATGGCGCCTCGACACTTCCGGGGCTCGACATTACTCGATCTCGATGTTTCTGGCTATCTGGTATGTCGTATCTATAAATATTCATGCACTATATCGTTAATTAAAATGCAACACATGCGTGTGTGTGTATTTTTTATCAATAAATTTTAATCTTATCTAAATTGCTATTTATAATCTTATCCTTTATAAACATCAACTATAGGTATACTATGTTTCTCAATTAAATCATGACGTATTAAAGTTCATAATTTCTTTAATTTGTATAATTAATTTATTTAAAAAATCTTAAATTTTTAAAAAAATTTAATTTTAATTAAGAATCTAATTAGAAAACTATTAATAAAATTAATAAAATTAATTGTTTAAATTAATTTAAAATAAAAATTTTAATTAAAATATGTATAACAATTAAAAGGTATATTAAAATTTATATAATTTAATGAAGGAAGGAAAACATGCGCATGTAATGTATACGCGAATAAAATCAAAATGATGTTTTTGGTTGTAATTAAAAAAATAGAATA